CACAGGAAAGCCAAAGTTGTGGGGAAGGAAAGCAGGACTTTGATTTTAAATAACTACATCCATCAGAGGGACAGACTGCCCTGTAGGACTCCTTGGGTTTCCCAGTAATGACAGCTTGGCATGTGTGAAGAAGCACCTCTCTGGTTTCCTATTTCTTTACTGTAAGATTCAACAGATTCTAACTTTATGAACCATATAAATTTACTGACCATCAACTATTTGAAAACTCTAAGGCTAGATTCTGGGATGAGGAGTTCTTTAAGCCACTGTGCATTTTCTAACTTTCATGGTAATTGCACTGTAATTTAGAAACTGTGTGTTTACCAAGAATTTCTAAAAAAAATATTCTGTATTAGAAAGAGGCATATAATTGCAAATTACTCATATAAGCATATATTACATTAATACATCTGAATAAATGAAGCATGTGAGATCAGAAAACAAAAACATGGACCTACAACTCATCACACAGCTATGAAAAGTGCTGTAATTACAAAGCAAAATACTTGTCTTTTAGGTCCAAAGCATGTGTTTTCAAAGTCCTCTAGCTAATAAATATCTATATTTTCTTTATTCCAAATTTATTGCTGTGCTTTCATTATTATAATGTGTTTGAAGGATCATGTGTTGATCTAGTGCATGATTTCAAACAATTCCCTTAAAAGTACTAAAAATTTTCTCTTAACACCCATCACTAATTTTATTAGTACCATGGTTATATGTGAACTTTGAGCCTACAGGAGAAGTTTACTTAAAATTCAAAAATTTTCTGTCACTGAAAAGGTAGAAGATATATTATATTAAAGATGACTTTATTGTCTGGGAAATAGAAATATGCCAAAGGAATTATTTCCAGGAATTTGGTCATTTTGGGGGTACTGATCTGAGTATAATAAGTGAAATTTAATTGTATTTGAAGATTTATGGAAATATGCTTCAAAATAAATGTGCCTTGAGAGAGAATATTAGTATACTTAGCTTCTACAACTATTTCCAGAAAATTTACATAATATAAAAATTACATGAATTATGTAGAAATGCTATTCACTGTATCTTTATAGTATTTTGAGGAGATTCATTGATTTGGTATTTTTGCCTCAAATATATTTTTTCAAAAATAAACAGAACTTGGTCATTAAGCTTTTTGTTTTATATGATATCATCAATTTATGATGACATTATTATTCTCTTTTAAGCCCAACTATATATAAAAAATAGTGATTCTTTTTCTTGGTGCCATGTTACCTTCCAAAATTCTTAGTTTTTGTGAAAAACAATGATAATTTTGAAGTGCAGAGTTATATCCATATAAAGCATATTTTCTTTTCTCCAATTTTGATTATTCATCTAATTTATATTAAAATGTATTGAACATGTTTGATTGTGTATTATAAGCCCATAAACTAAGCTAACTATTTTACTTAGAGATCTGGATCTTCAAATATACACATCTATTTTACCCACAATGAATTAAAGTAACAAAGAGAAGCATAAAATGAGATAATCATCCATAATGAAAAGAGGAGGTAATCTCCAGTGAGAAAAGACTTCAAAGAACTTCTGGAAAACAGAAAGTCTGGAAGCAGATGAAGGATGCATTTGAGTTCTAATTAGGGCTTACCAGGGGGTAGATTAAGACCATGACTAGGCATATTGGAAATCTATAAATTAGTGTGGTTCAGATCAGCACATTTGAAATAGAGAAGAAAGCAGGTTTGGGCACACAGAATATGGGGTTGCAGTCTACTCTCAGAGGAGGCTTCTGCTTACTCCAAGTGAAATTTTGGAGCTATCTTGCACTCTCATAGTTGTTTCTACTTGAGACATGGAGTGTGATTTACATGAGGCTCAAACAGTCTTGAGTGTAGGAAGACTGAATGGTCATATAAAAAAAAATCTTTTCTACTGATGAAAATATTTTGAAAAGACCACTTTCAGCAATTGTCTGGGAAATGAATCCTTCAGTCCTAATGGTGCAATAAAGCACAGTTCCCTATAGTGACACCACAAAAATTTACTTTGCAGTCTAAGTTCTATACTTAGTTTATGGTACTGGTGAGACTCTATTCCTGAAGAAAACTTATAAAAAGGGAAAACATTGCAATTAATTACTGTTTTGACAACTGTGTAGACTGAATGTCAAATTAATGTTCATCTTCTGCTGTTGATTTTAGATGTCCTAAATGGACTTCTTTTGGTCTCTATAAATTAACAGATGGAGTGAAACTCATACTCATCCCCAAATCATTTGAGCCTCCTCACCATACATTTCTCAAGACACAACTACTGCATTGGTCCTTTTACAATTCCTGTAGGGCAAGTGAGTACTAAAAAGTAGAGAATTGCATAATCTGTTTTCAAATTGAATCATCTGATTTTTATCTCTATTGCAACATGGAATCAATGTCCTTCTGGTAACGAGAGTGAATTGACCTAGCTAGGATTGTAATTTTTCCTCTTGCTTTCTGTTTATTTATTACATAAAATTTAGAATCCTCAGGTGCAGTTTAAATTTTAGTTGGAATCTTGTTAGACATTCTGATGGAAAAGTGTCATCTTAAATAATTAGGATTTATAAAACTGGAGGATGCAGAGGCATGGTGTAAGAAAATATAATTGCCAAGTTGGTTAATGGGAGTGATTGTGAGGGAATACTCTTCAACTTTGACACTCTAGCTCCTGGATCTATGTAGTCTATCTCTTGATAGCACAACCTGATATAATGATGTGAAATTTAAGAAGTGTAAGCAACACCATCACCTGTTCCAGAATTCTACTAGGCGAGTAGCTTTTTATTTTTATTTTGTAGTTGAAAATACAGTGAATACCATGGTCATATAATATCTTTATTTTTGTTAACTGTGGTCTGATTCAATTTTAGGCATGATCTATTGGCACTTTGTTAGTGGTGCTTGCTTAGGATTTATTGTCTGTAAAAGCAAAATGTAAAAAAAAAATGCTTGGGTTTTTCTAGTGATAATTATTTCTGGGTTAAAAGAGATCCACTTGTTAATTTATTATGAGAGAATGATGAAAAGAATGATGCTGTCACAAGAACCTAGAGACAGACCTCTCCTCCTAGCTGGCAGGATATTTGGAAGAAGCATTTGATAGACAAAATTGCAGTGACTGGAAACCACTATGTTACTCAGTCCTCAATCATCCTGTGCATCATCAGAGGCTGGATAAAACAACTAGCCAAGTCAAGTTGTCAACTTGGTTGTCTTGTACAATGCCCATGATGTATGTGCTTTGGTATTTGATAGCATGAAATCCCATGATATTTACACTGCATTGTCTCTCTCAGAGATCCATCCTGATTACTGTACCCCCCAAATTTTATCGTCTTACAAAGTTCCTTATAGACAAGTCTTGATTTCTTCCTATTAGTTATGTACCTTCTTACCTGAGGTAACTTCTTTTTCCACGTGTAATTAAGGATGAAGTGTGCTGCCAAGTATTCTGATCTTTGGAAAGAGATTTTTTTTTATTTTTTTATTTTTCAAGGATAACCCTGAAAGATACTGTACAATGGTGTTATTTTATTTCAGCTTACTTCTAAATGAAGCTAACTCATATTTATTTCTAGTAACATTTTGATAAAGGTTGGCCAATTTCCCTTCTATCTGATTCACAAAGGGACCTTTTCCTAAGGAGGAAATGAATAGGTGTTGTATTACTTCTTTGCTTTAAAATTGATTGGGGTTTTCTGAGAAAGAGAGTAACTTCATGACTATCTTCTTGATTAGTTATTTGCTTAGTTATTGGTCACACTCTACAAGTGTGACATCAGGTGAAATGTAAAGGAAGATAGAGAGTAAAATAAGTAGAAGATATCAATTGATTATACTTTTGTACTGAAGTAAGGTTTTTCAAGTACTATATGACTTGCATATCTCTCTGCCTTCCATTTAAAATAGAAATATAAAATTCATCTTTAATTTTATGTATCACAAATAAACTTCTAAAAATAAAATTTACACCTATTTTTTTCCTAATTCTGTTCATGATTTCTCTATTCTCTTGATTATATGAATTTTTATAATTGATACTAACTTGATAATCTGTGTCATTTCCTGGTTTACAAACACTTATTGATTTTTGTCTCTTTTTACTTACAGTGGGCCTCCAGTGACTAAGGGAAAGACCTCTTCCTGTCTGCTTCTCCCAACCGTGCTCCAGCATCTCAGCTTCCCAGACCCTCATGCAGTTGGTTGTAAATTCTTGCTGAAGCTCCTTTACTGTCAACTTTTCAGGACTAAAAAAATGAAAAATTAAAAAAAAAACACTTTAAGAAGCAAAATGTGGAGGATGAAAGCAGCACATATTTTTTGGTAATTAGACTTTTTAAAATTTTTTTAACATTTGTCTCTTTTTAATGTGGGTCAGCCACTGATACTTGATCAAAATAACCATTTCTTTGTTGAGTTCTCGTGACCAAGGAATAGCCACACCCTCAGAACAAAACAAAACACACACATACAGAAAAAAAAACACACAGAATCATCTTTAACCTAATATTTTATATAATGTCTCAGATCCTCATAACTTTGCTCACAAGCTTCTGTGTTCAGTTGAATTGTAACTGCTTTTTGTATTTGGAGAGAGTGTGACTATTGAACTTGAAACTTTTTATTCTGGGCATCTTGGTGGATTCTGGTTAGATAAAGTGGGTGAGAGGGTGAAGGGAAAGTGGGGAGTTCTTCCCTATTATAACATGAAATTTCCCCACAGTCTGCTCTCAGCTGCCAAACCTCAAGTTTTTCTTACACTGGTGTACTTTGATTATTCTTACTTCCCCTTTATCCATAATTTTTACAGAAGCTTATCAAATTACACTATTAAGAACAATTTTAAAAATAAAGTTATAGTTCACCTCACCATTCTGCACTTGTTATTTATGGTTTCACTCACCTGCTTGCCTGTTTCTGATGTCTGAAAAACAGACATATTATTTTCCACATTTTATCCAGTTTCCTACATGTATATACTGGAAAGAAAGAAAATAAGGTCTGGAAATATTCTATTTTTTTGAATGATATAATCAAGAAAATAAAATTTAAACATGCTAAATATATCTACAGAATTTCTCAAGTAGCTAAGCTTAAAACAAAGAGAATATCCTGTAAAGAAAATCTATAGTCAGTTTCAATAAAGCAAGAATAGAACCCAAGTATTTATCATTAATGATGGGCTATAGATGATACATACAGAATAACCTCAAGATTTAAAGGAAAAATTGTATTCAACCTGGTATTCTAAACTGAAGCAGACTGTCCATCAATGATAAATAAAAATAGATCTTCATAAATGATAAAATTCTAAAAAGCGATTTTCTGTGCCTCATTACAAAGAGGGTTACTAAATATAGAAGAAAAATAAAACAAAGGGAGCAGAGTTTGTGGACAGAAATAGTGGCTCTAACTACAGAGCTCAAGAAAGTTATGCTGATTCTGCAGTAGACCTTGAAAATAGTTTTTTTAGCATACCTCAGTCCTACCTTTAAAATGATTCTTAAGCTAGTAAGTAATCAATTGATGGAATGTAGCAAAAGTTAGAAGATTCTAGTGACCTATTTTTTTTTCACCACACACAAAAAAATGAAAATTAGAAAATACTGGAAAAACAAAGTGATGAAAAAGAAAGTAAAAACCCACTAAACACAAAAAATGGAAAGTCAAGTTCTGCATATGAAAAACAGTAAAATGTGCACTTTTTGTAACATTTAATGGGATAGAAGAAAGTAGTATTGATTGTTCTTGATGGTAAGGACATCCCTCCATTAGCAGCATTCATGTCCTGATACTGGATGTCAGAAAGGCTAATAAATTAGAGAAAGAAATCATTCTTACTTCTGGTGTGTGTTTTGTGATGAAAACTATTTTAAAGTCAAATTTGTGAAAATGCTTACTGGTTTTTAACCTTCATAAATTTTCTGTAGACAAAGAATGCAACACATAATTATTTTTAAAAGAGAATAACTAACTGATGAAGCATGAACATAGGGACTTGTAACTATTAAAAAATAGAGTGAGGTGTGGTGGTCTGTACAGATGCTGATACTCAGAAATAATAAAGTTTCCAATGTAGATTAAGCAAGAAATCACAGAACACATATCATTATGATTATGTAAATAATAATCAATAAACACTAAAGCCTTTTAATATTTGACTCATTAGGCCTGAAGAGAAAGAAGTGGGCCCATGAGCTAAATTGCTTTTCCTCCCTCTCTCATTGCAATTGGAAAAATAATGGGAACCCTAAAACATTGTGAAGGGTCTTCTATGTATATATTTCAAAATTATGGTCAATATCATACAACTAGTAGTAGATATGGCTAAATTTAGTTTCCTTTTAGAACTTTACATAGTTGCAGAGGCTGCTGATTTGGGTGTAAATTTTGGAAACTACTGTTTTATAGAGTCCGGGTGATTGAACCCAGGGGTGAATTTTCATTCATATATATTCACAATTCTTCAATATTTTGCTTTGATACCTGGTCTCAGTTTCCAAGGCTGGCCTTGAAGTTGTGATTATTCTCCCTCAGACTCTATGATTTTTGAGAATACAGGTATGTACCACCACATCAGGCCTGGACACTCCCTTTTAATTTTTACATGCATCTAATAATCAAAACGTTTTTAAATATTACTGCCTTTCCTTTTATATAAAATATTCAATACTAACTTTCCAAATTGGTCTTCACGCTCACATTGTTTTTTTCAAAAGACCAATCTTCATGTTGAGTAGTTATACTTTTTTTTAACCATAACATGATATGCTCATTAAGTTCTATTCTGAGTTAGCAAGTCAATTTTATATATGTTTTAGAAAAACAAATTGCCATAAATTGTTCTGGTCATGCTCTTAATAGAAGTACCTTTTAGTCATCATCAAAAGAAAGATAGAAGGAAATTTGTTAAAGTCAAAAGCTAAGATCCAACAGTGGGCCAGTTCTTGTTTCAACCAGATGTTTATGATTTGATTGCTTTTTTAAAAAACATCATTCTTTGGATTGCTCTGATGGCCTTTCCTATGATATTTAATAGTCAGCTCCATTTAAAAGCAATAATTTAGGTGAAAAGTGGATACTAAGGTAAATAAATATTTGGAACAAATTAATAGTACTCAATGTTTCTCATGATTATATACAGCTTCCTCCCACCATTCTGAGATTGCAAATCATAGAGCTTTCAATGACTTCAATTCCTCACTACCTTTCACTACTCAGCTAATGCAGAATTAATTTCTCAACAAATTTGCATTAAATAAGTAGCAATTTAGAGAAAACCAGATATAATTACACCACTGAAATTAAAACAATATATGTATGTGGCAGTTTGCCAAATACTTGGCATATTCAAAGAATAAAATGAAGAAGTTTAACAGAATTGTGGCTTTCCTTTATGTGATAGGGGAAAGTTTATTGTCATGTTGTTTCAAAAAGACATTGACCACTTCCTTATTAAAAAAATAGTTGTTATTCTTTAACATGGATTTTCTTGATTTTTTAAAGTTTTTCCCATTTTTCTTGCACACTGAGAAGGTATTTGCTGGGGTCAAACACAGTGTGATAATGATCAATCAATTGAATTTTCAACTAATATTATAAAATGCATCTCTGACACATTTGCAATTGTTTTCATGTTATATAGTAGCCTCATGCACATTCAGCATGAGAAGAGGTTGTTCATTAATTTTGGTATCAATACTGGGTTAGGTACATTGAAAAGATGTTGAGAAAATTACATCTATAATAATGGAATCCCCCAATTCACTTTCTGGTTAAATCTCCCTGTCCTCACTCAGGACAGTTTCTATGTAGTTTTTTTTTTTATGTCTCAGGAGAAATATTGGTAAAAAATGTATCTTTCACCTGTAGCATAAAAATAAGTGGTCATGTCCTTCATCTTCCTGAACTGAGGACAAGCATAACTCTGAAATATGGTACTGTGAACAGAGATTTTCTGGAGTCAGTCTTGACATAGTTTTGAGGGTGCTGTTCCAAAAATTTCAAAATTTCTCTTACACCATCGGTATTGGATTACTAGGGATCTTACTACATATTCAGAACAGTACATAAGTGAACAAATTTTTTGTTAAGCAAAAATGCCCTGTGCAGCCAGGGATGGCTGAAATACTGATTATACTGAGACTCTGGAAATCTCAGTTATTTTTTTTTTACCTCTAACTACTAAATTTTTCTAGCTCAGTAAATCTCTCTCTATTCTTTTTCTTGCTTTTAAAACCAGAGGAGCAATATTTGTCTTTTTTAAATTTCTGTATTGTTTCCCAATTTGACTGAAATAAAACATGTAGAAGTCTTTTGGAATATATTACAAAGCATACAAATGAAAGTTAATAATCATTGTTAATTTTGTAGGGACTCTTTTTCTTTCAAATGCTGTCCTAACTCAAAGTTAGTAACATATCTTTCTTCAATTACCTCTGATTATATATCCATTCCCCCCCTAGCATTTGGAAGCCACACTTAATCCACTATTGGTCTTTTGCTTACGTCTTTACAAGATTTTATTTGTATGCTATTGTGTGTTGACCCCATTGACTTTTCTTTCATTTAGTGTAGTTTCATGTATAATTAAATTGTTATAAATGTCTATATTAGAGAGTGTAAAATGTCACCAGACCTTATTCTTAACCATATGTTGTTGTAAACTCAGTTCTTCATGAATTATATGTAATATCAATAAATTTTTGAATGATATTCAATATGATTTTTTATGGATTCCATGAATAAGAAGCCTTTATCCTATTGTAACTGGTAAGACAACATTTTATGATAAGAAACTTAATCTTTACATACAACCTTCTCAGTTTACCTTACTAACTGGTCCATAGAAAATAAGACTATGAAACATAGCTCATTGATTATTCCTGCCTTGATACAATACTACCCATAGAATAGCAGTGATGTCAGAATTTACTAAAGTACATGAAAACACTGATCATAGAAAACAAAACATTCATTCACAGAAAAATGAAATGGCCCCAATGAGGCTGAAGTCTAGAAGGCCATTATGCACACACAAGAAAGATAAAGCTCTTCTCTCCACAAGAGCTATCTTTACATTTGTGGAAATTCAGTCTCTTCAAATCATTAGGAATTGTTAAAATGTTAAAATTTGTAATTCAAGATATGAAAATCTGGGGCTTTTTTTATATCTATGTCCTTCATAGAACACTTAATTTCACTGTAAATACAAACAGAGAAAATTATAATGATCTGACTTATGCAATTATATTCCATATTAAGTTTTATTAAAATGTGTAAAAGTATTGAGAGATGCTAGAGTATTATTTATTCAATAGTATGTTTTACTGTTGCATAAATAATTTAGTCAAGTGGAACACTTTGACATGATGCAATACATGAGTGTTAACATATAAACAAATATTCAGTTATAAAGACATATTGCATACATAAGGTAAATATAGGTAAAAAAAATGCACTGTAAAGTGAGCATGATGGTCCTTGCTTGTAATCCAAGCAAATTGGGATGCTGAGTATTTTCAGAAGTTTAAACTCAGCCTCAGAAACTTAGTGTGATTTCAAGCAACTTGGCAAGACCAGTCCCAGAATTTGAAATAGTGGGGAGAGGGCTTAGGAATGTGGCTCAGTGTTTAAAAATCCTTAAATTTAAACTGCAATACAAAAAAAATAAAGTGCAAAGTATTACAATTCAGTGTTAAACATCAAAAGATAGATCTCTTATAACTCTTTTCTCTAATATTTAAAAGTGAAAATAGTAATACTTTATTTAGAAGAAAATTATATGCTTTCAAAGATAAGGTTTCTGCACCATGCATGTATGATATTTATGACTGATATTACTACCAAATAATTTGATAATGCTTAATAAATTTAAACAAAAGTTAAACACAACTACTTATATTCTATATTTAAATGAGTTGTGTCTTTTACTGATACTCATATATATCAAGGTTTAATGTATAGATAATGATTTTACTCTCATATTTGTCAGGGTGTTTACTATAAATGTTTAGTTGTTGTATAAGGCATATATTTTGTACAAAATATTTTCAATGTTCACTACTGGTATGAGTTTTCAGATGTTCAATGAATTTAAAATTTGATTAAGTTTTGGAAATATTATTTAACATTTTAGAGTTTCTGGGGACAGTGAATTCTACACCAATCAGTAGTGTTTAAGAAACATGTGGCAATGAAATGTTTTATCCCCCATTTGTTTTCTCTCTTACCAGTATGTATCCACAGGTGCTGAGTATTGGTGAATACATTTTGGAGGCATTGTCACATTGTCAATTTTCACATTTCAAAACTTTCTCTCTGCTAAGATTATTGTGGTGGCGATTAAATTTTTACCCTTTCTTAGAGGAATGGTTCAATCGTCTCATTTATAAAGCTTCACTCCAGCATATTTTATCTGATTTCTAGTAATGTACAACATATAATTTAAAATATTTCTACATTCTCTATATTTATATGTCTTCTTTTCAGAATAAATAGCCTAGTGGTGAAAAAGAAATGATTTCTTATTAAAAGCTTTGATACATTGTTTTCATTCATAGGGGTTCTTTCCTTTATAAATTCTGTTGTTAATGAGGTTTAGTTTTTCTTTAAAAGTATTATCACTTTATTTACATTTCATATTCACCATTGTGTCTTCTGCTGTGGTGAATAAAGTTTTATTTTTTATTAAAAGTTTTGCCACTTTATTCACATTTTTAGGACTATTTCTCCAGAGTGAGTTCTTCTATGGTGAATAATGCCTGTTTTATTCTAAAAGCTTTGCCACATTCCTTACATTTGTAGGGCTTCTTTCGAGTGTGAATTCTCTGTGGCAAATAAGGTGTGATTTTAGACTGAAAGCTTTGCCACATTCTTTGCATTGGTACGGCTTCTCTCCAGTGTGAATTCTGCTGTGGCGAATAAGGTTTGATTTTCGACTGAAAGCTTTGCCACATTCTTTACATTTGTAGGGTTTCTCTCCAGTGTGAGTTCTACTGTGGCAAATAAGGTGTGATTTTCGACTGAAAGCTTTGCCACATTCTTTACATTTGTAGGGCTTCTCTCCAGTGTGAGTTCTACTGTGGCAAATAAGGTGTGATTTTCGACTGAAAGCTTTGCCACATTCTTTACATTTGTAGGGCTTCTCTCCAGTGTGAGTTCTACTGTGGCAAATAAGGTGTGCTTTTTGACTGAAAGCTTTGCCACATTCTTTACATTTGTAGGGCTTCTCTCCAGTGTGAGTTCTGCTGTGGCAAATAAGGTCTGATTTTTTACTGAAAGCTTTGCCACATTCTTTACATTTGTACGGCTTCTCTCCAGTGTGAGTTCTCCTGTGGTAAGTAAGTCCTTCTTTTATTCTGAAAGCTTTGCCACAATCTTTACATTTGTAGGGCTTCTCTCCAGTGTGAGTTCTGCTGTGGTAAGTAAGTCCTACTTTTCTACTGAAAGCTTTGCCACATTCTTTACATTTGTAGGGCTTCTCTCCACTGTGAGTTCTGCTGTGGTGAATAAGGTCTGATTTTTGACTAAAAGCATTGCTACATTCTTTACATTTGTAGGGCTTCTCTCCAGTGTGAGTTCTTCTGTGGCGAATAAGGAGTGATTTATGACTGAAATCTTTGCCACATTCTTTACATTTGTAGGGCTTCTCTCCAGTGTGAGTTCTGCTGTGGTGAATAAGGTCTGTTTTTTGACTAAAAGCTTTGCCACATTCTCTACATTTGTAGAGCTTTTCTCCAGTGTGAATTCTTCTTTGGTAAATAATGTTTAATTTTTGACTAAAAACTTTACCATATTCTTCACATTTGTAGGGCTTCTCTTCAGTGTGATTTCTGCTTTGCTTAATAAAGATTGATTTTTCTTTATAAACTTTATCACATTCTGCCCATTGGTAGGGCATCTGTCCAGTGTGGGTTACTCTGTGGTTAATAAGATCATTTATTTTACTAAAAGCTTTGCCACATTGTTTATATTTGTAGGGCTTCTCTCCAGTATAAATTCTCTGGTGGTGAACAAGGCCTGATTTTTTATATGATTTCTGGTGTTCACTCTCACTTGTGGTTTTCCATATTTTCTTTTGTTGTAAATAGTCAAGATCACAACTTCTATATTTCCCATTTATCAATTTGTGAAATATATGTTTTATGCCCTTCTCTGGTGAATATTCTTGGGTATCATGTGGAGTCATGGCTGAAATAAACAAAAATAAAAAAAATAAACAATAACTACTAGACAGGGATAAATATAATTTGCATACATAACATGAAATTAAGGTAGAATAAATACATAAGGAGTGTAGCAGATTAGTAAGTCCAAGTCATCATAAATCAAAAAATATATCAGTTCAATAAAAATGCACAAACAAAATTACCTTGAGAATATTACTCAAATTTTTGTAGAGACCACAGCATCCAAGAGGAATACATCATTAAGAAGAGTTATATAATAAAGAGAAGGTAAGTATGTTACTTTTATCATCCACAGCCATTTGTTCTCTATAAGATAGCATTGTGTATTTAGGAAATATCTATCAGCTACCTTCACTCTCAGTAGAACAAGAGAAATGTAAAACATACAAACATTTGTGGCTTTTTCAAAGAGTGTCTAAAAACTGGCTTTGGTCTACCATGACATACAGACATGAAAATAACTAGTATATTTTGAGTGATAATACCACAAATATTCAACAAGATTAAAGAGGCTATGGACTATTAAAAAGAAAAATGAACAAAAAATTTACTAAGAAATATACACATATATGTGTAAAAAATTTTCCATTAAAACATTTTAAATGACTATAAAAACCTTGGATAGCCTATGGCCATAATACTTGGATGAAGACAATGCATAACAATCAAGTATAATAAATTGATTTTTATATTTTTAAATTTGTGAGATATGATGATTTCTTTCATTGACAAATACACCTTTGTTTATTTCCTAAATATATCATGGTATTTTATACTATATATACAAGGTAAAATGACTAAATAGAATGAATTAACAAAAAAACAAGAATGAATTAACACAATTATTATTTTAGATAATTATCAGTTTTGTTCTTACAAGGTATTATATTTCTTCTATTAGTATTTTTGAAGAATATAATACACACACCATGTGGTAAAACAAAACTCTTGACCCTTTTATGCTCAATAAAATAAAAATATGTGACTTTGAGTATAATATCAACCCTACACAAAACACAGTACCTAGTGAGCAAAATTTTACCCACTAAATTTCTGATTCCACATATGAATCAAATGTTCCTGAAATTAATCTCTGCATGCCACATTTCTCTTAATGCAAAGTCCTGCATATATTTCTTATAACCCTTTAAGAGACAAAATATTTTATAATTAAATAATAATAGTATATAAGTACAATATTTTTACACATTTGGTCATTGATAGGCACATACATTGAGCCCATAGCTTTAATACTGAGAACAATGTGTGCACTAAATACAAAAGCAGAGGTATCTCTTCAGTTTTCTGATTTAATTATTCATGGATACATATTTAGCACTGGCATTTCTGGAACTTTAGGTCATCCAACTTTTAATTTTTCATGTGTGGTGCTTGAGATTAACACCCCCCCCCAAATTTTATATCACTGAACTACAAAACAAGTCTTTTTAAAATTTTTTGACTCATGCTGTTTCTAAATTTCTATGACTTCCCTCAATCTTGAAGTACTTTTTCATGGCCTCCCAATTAGCAAATATTACAAGGATGCAGCACTGTTCTTGCCTATTTTTATTTATTTAAGAGTTTTTTTTAATACTTTTTTTCCAAAAATGAACTATATAATCTACTGTTGGCTCCTTTAATAAAAAAAAAGTAATACAGCAAATATAAACAAAGAGAAGCATGGCTTAATCCAAGTGACAAGAAAGAAAAAAAAAACACTAAAAACTGAAATTTAGGATACTGGCAATTATGAATTACTCAAAGAACACTAAATAACGATTTAAAGAAAGTTTAGAGAGTGAAATTGAGACAAAAAATATAAATATAAATAAGCACAAATTGTGTATCTGAATAATTCTTTAAGGAAAAAAATGAGAGGGGCATTCCTAAGTGTGTAAATCTGAAATTCTACCAATATGGGAGAGGCTTATCATGCAGGACCAAGTTTAAGACTAGTCTAAGCAACTTGTAAAATACTGTAAAAATTAAAAACTGGGGCTGGGGATGTGGCTCAAGCGGTAGCGCGCTCACCTGGCATGCGTGCAGCCCGGGTTCGATCCTCAGCACCACATACAAACAAAGATGTTGTGTCCGCCAAATACTAAAAAATAAATATTAAAAAATTCTCTCTCTCTCTACCTCTATCTCTCTCACTCTCTCTTTAAAAAAATTAAAAACCTATAGGATATATAAAGATAAGTGGGATACACACACACACACACACACACACATTACACTTGAGGGGATATAATATATATATTTGTAAAAAATCCAATCATGCCACAATGAAAAGCAATGATCTAGAAATTAAATCATTAATCACAATAGAAAAAAAGCTTACGAAGCAGAAGTATAATGAGTTATTCACTTCAAAATATTTATGATTATTAATGCATTATTACAAAACCCAATAAAAAATTTACTAACAGAATTAAATCTAAAAAAGAAACTTCTAAGTCAGTACCAGCAGAGAGCATTAAAAGAAACCAAGCATGATCTGCTCCTAGAGGGCCTATTTGTTTAAAGATGGATAATGCCTCTGCCTTTATATCTCATCCTTTTGCACAATTTTTAATGAATGAGATATAGTTTTAAATTATGAAATTTCTCATAATCGTTTTGGACAAGCTTTTGTTGAATGAATAAATTATATCCCGATCCTTGCCTTTTCAAACAGAAACAAACAAAAGATCTAGCCTCTCTCATATTAAAATATACATTAAATAATGTTTTATTTACACTTAATGTGCTCAATATACAACATAAAATTAATACTCAAAATTGGTCATCTGCATTGAATAGGCATTTTATTCTCAAACATCCATTATCTATCTATCTATCTATCTATCTATCTATCTATGTGTATATATAAGATTCCAGCTTATCAGCATGGCAAGGTACTATGCCTTTGATCATGTGGGGAAAAGCATAGACTGTTAAATTATGCAAACATGTTCTTTTTGATGCATGAAATATAGCAATTATAAATGTACATCAGGTACTTGACAAGCTGATTAGTAAGATTCATTTAACCCTGGAAGAGAAGAGTCCCTCCAAACAAGAGAATAATCATTCTCCTCAAAAGAGGAGAAACATTAAAAGAGGAAGCCAAGATACTATAATTCCAAATACTTGGGGGGATATAAAACCATTAATAACCTCAGCTCCAAAGGAGTTGGCTCAAATAGGGTAGAATGTACTATGGATAACTTAGTTACTTCTTTGGTTGCTAAACTCACACAAAACTCTGTTAATGCTTTGCTCTGTTTTTGTACACCACTTGTGGGAAATTCAGTACTGTCAGATCCTGGACTTCTACAACCCATTACAATATCTTGACTCACTTGGATGAAATTGTTATATACCTGAAAAAATATCTCATGGTATTCATTGTTGTGTTAGCAGAATAACTGTGTCCTTACCATCCACATAGTATTTAATAGGTCACAATCCTGCACAATTATTCATAAAAGGTTTATTCCTCTTGATAAAAACTGTGATAATTCAGTGAACCTTCTTTCTAAGGCAGAATTTGATGCTCTGACATTTTCCTTAGTGGGTTTCCCTGACTAGCTCTATGGGCTTACAAAACTACTATGAAACTCACCTATGCTATCATAAAAAGTATTAGTCATGCCTCCATGGCTGTTAATATGCTTAATGAAGAACAAAAACAACATTGTCAAGCCATACTTAAAATTCATGATTGCAATTGATTATCTGGTATTGTTATATCATAATGGATATCATAAGTTTAATTACATGTGTTCCTTCAATTTAAGTGATAATAGTAATTTTATTTCAAAAGAGTTAGATTACCTTAAAGATATGATTAAAAAGGTACAACAAGATGATTGATGATTGACTTGTTGGATTGGCTAACATCATGTTTACTCAATTTCATCTGCGTCAAAAAATATTCATAGGTGGATGTTTACTGATGTTGGTACTTGCTGTTGTCTATGGCTGTCCTATTTTTTGCCCCCACCAGCATTAAGGAGATAAGTAATATTATTTTTTCAAAAGGCCTTAAAAAAGAGGGGGGGGGCTTTAGGTATTCTGACCTTGGAAATAGAAAGTGTGGGGGTGATGGAAACTGGCACCCTGAGTCCCACAATTGAAATTCCCAGCAGTTTCTCTCTGAAACTATTAAGACAACTCTACAGGTGCACTATCTAGTTTCTGTGGTAATGTCCTTTGGGAGAAGAGACTCTATGTTTGTATTAACTGTACGTTATCTTTGTTAGCTAACACTTGGTGTTAAAATAATACTAGGTTAGAATGTAGTCATTGCAACAGAAGCTATGTAATTTTGGGGTATACTATGTACAGCCATGAAGAGGAGTGGTCAGTTTTTTTAACTTTTCACTGAGATTGAGTCTCTCTCTTCTGTTTGCTTCTTTACAGGTTTCCTCACAAGAAGATTTGTAACACATCATGCTGGCCCTAACAATAAAACGTAAGTTTTGATAGTTAATCTGAATAAACTGGGATATCACTAAAGAAGAAAATGGAGGATCACAAAGAATTTGAAAATGTGATAAATGTAGGGCAGTATGTGTTCAATGATTAAAATCAAAAGAAATAAACCTAAGCTTCTGAAATGTTTTTTTTTTCTGCTAAATAACTACTCTACCAACATTTTTTATATTGGTTTTCTCCATTTGAACATCTCGCTGTGTCCCCTGCTCTGTGTAGGCTACAAGAGTTTACATCATTAAAGTATGCTAGGAACTACTTATCTAAAGTGGAGAATGTATAACATACCAAGAAAGAGAGAGATTAAAGAGTAACATAATATATATTAAAGAGTAAATTATCTGTACTAAAAATGCCCTTTTTCTTTGAAACACAAATCTGAAACTCATTCTTACAGAGAAGTTCCCAGAAGATACAACAGAAGTACATCAAATAATAACTATTAATTAAAAATTTTAAAGGGAAATTAAACTTACCAAGGAAGGCAAAGTTTCTATAGTTCTCTAACATCACATCTTTATATAAGTTTTTCTGCACAGGTTGAAGGCATTCCCATTCCTCTTCAGTAAAATCAATGGCTATATCCCTGAATGATAACAGTAACTGTAAAAAGAATAGATAAGTAAATAACACATTGACAACATGAACATTTGCACAGTCTGTAAGGTAATTGAAGTTAAAATGAGAATTAGTAGACTATCATGTAGGTGGTGTTTTGGAACAAAATGATACTATTATCTACTTCTGCAGAAAAAGTGATTTAAGTTCAAATATATCATATATATATATAATATATTCCACATTTGTTAAACACAATATAAAACTCAGGCATTACCACAAAAATATACATTTTTTGATTTTTTATATCATGATCTAAATTATGTATATTGTTCAGATGAAAAAATTATTGTAATTAAAAAAGGGAATCCTCAAATTTTAATTGTACAATCACTAATCAGAAATTTACTAAAGTGTAGAATCTTATTTGTTATTTCTCTGATAGAGCTGGATTTTCTGAATATGTAGTGAGATCTCTAGTAATCCCAATACCAATGGTATAAGAAAAATTTTGAAATGTAACAAGGTAGACAGACCACTTAATGGAAATATTTAATAGTGAATTTAAGTTCAAACATTTTATGGTATTTATGTATGTTATTAATATAAAAAATAACAAAAACAATCCTGTTTGCATTTTCCGTTTTATAATTTTAACATACAAAATAATATATGCATAATTTGATTGATGCATATATTGTAAGATGTTTATAATAGAATATAGATATATCTTTTCAAAAAATATAATTTTTTTTTATTCTTTCTAGTTCTACCTGAGAGTAGAATCAATTTTCATGGTATTAATAAGCACGGGATATATCTTATCCTAATTAGAATCCTGTTCTTGTTGGTGACTATGATGGTAGGATTTATATATATCTTTAATATTTCTATCTTCTTCCTTTTTATTTATTTATTTATTTACCACTGTGCAATCTACTGTTCTTGTTCTTACCCTTCCCCACTTTATGAACTTTAGATTTCACATATGAGAAAAAAAAATTCAGTTTTAAAGAAATGGTTTGTTTTACTAAGCATAACATCTCCAGATCCATTCATTTACTGGCAAATATCATAAAGTTATTCTTCTTTATGGCAGATTAATAATTTATTGTGTACATAAGCAACAATTTTTTATCTTGTCATCATTGAATGGACCCATTCCTCATTGAATGTTTGGTTTTATAGCTTAGCTATTGTGAATTGTGCTGCTATAAACATTAATGTGGCTGAGTCAATGTAGCATTCTGATTTTATGTCCTTCGGGTGTATACAGTACAGTAAAAAACCTGGGTTAAATTGTCTTTCCATTTCTTTAAACAATATCCATAGAGGTTATTATGTTTCACTTAGACCTCTATACAGCTGCAAAAATTAAAATTCAACTAAACCTGAGGTTGAAAATAAAACATACAGAAAATAATTAGTAAGCCATAAAATGACTAAGAATTTATTATCAAATCCTCAATCCCAATGAAAAGTAAATTTTATAAACTAAAAGTAAAGAAAATCTTAAGCAAAAGAGAAAAAATTAGAAGATATTAAAGATGAACATAACACAGAAAGAGTTACCAATATCAATGTTGGTGCTTTTAAAAAGCAAATGAGCAAGGTCTAGTGATGGACAACTGTAGTTCCAGTGACTGAGGAGGATGAGGAAAAAGGATCATAAATTCGAAGACAATATTATAATATTGTCTTATATATATTGTATTGAGCAACTTAATGAGGCACTTGGCAACTCAGCAAGACTGATAAAATAAAATACAGAAAGGACTGAGGATGTGGCTTCATGGATAAGCACCCCTGGGTTCAATTTACAGTACAAATAAAAAAAGCAGATACAATTAAAAAAGCAGTAGCAATTTTGAAAATTCAACAAATAATAATTATTTTAATTATATAGTATATAATTGAAAATATATGCATATATAATGATTTCTCACTTGATGGAAATACACTCTGATGGAAATTTTATCCTAAGAATATTCTGCAATTTTTCATTTCTCTGAGTATAATGACAAGAATCCAGATGGTATAGACTAGTTCATGGCTAAGATATTTGCTATATCCACTGTTGTACATAAAGTCTACTGCTGATGAAAATATCATGATGCCACATGATTGATGCTATGAAGTTAAATCAATCAGGGTAAACCTCATAATAAAATAAATGGTGGAATTACAGAAAACAACAACAAAAACAAAACTCTTTATAAGCCTCTTGTTATTTAGGCAGTGATACATAATGAAGATTGCAGTGCAGGGAAGAGGAAAAATGGCATTCATTCCAAAGAAAGATGCTAGGATATTGGGAAAACAGTGTGATAATAAAATGCTATTTTATCCCTAGACTCATAAAACATAACAACATATTGACACATTAAATGCTGAATATAAGTTATTAATAAATAATACTGAAATATATAAAAAATACAAAGCTTAAAAATTTACATACAAAAGATAGAGTACATATGGTGGTGAAGAAAACTACTCCATTTACAATAACTTCAAAAAAAATAAGATACTTGTGAATCAACTTAATGAAAGAGGTGAAAGATCTATAAGAAAAAACTACAGAACCTTAAAGAAAAAAAATCAGAAAAGACCTTAGAAGATGGAAAGATCTACCTTGCTCATGAATAGGCAGAATTAATATTATCAAAATGACCATGCTATCAAAAGCACTATACAAATTTACTGCAATTCTGATCAAAATCCCAATGGCATTCCCCATAGAAATAGAAAAGCAACCACGAAATTTATCTGGAAAAATAAGAGACCCTGAGTAGCTAAAGCAATCCTTAGCAGGAAGAGTGAAGCAGGTGGCATCACTATACCAGACCTTAAACTATACTACAGAGCAATGGTAACAAAAACAGCATGGCATTGGCAACAAAAAAGACTGATAGACAAATTGTACAGAATAGAGGACACAGAGACTAACCCAAAAAATTACAATTATCATATATTAGACAAAGGTGCCAAAAACATGCACTGGAGAAAATATAGCCTCTTCAACAAACCCTATCTCTCACCATGCACAAAACTCAACTCAAAGTGTATCAAGAACCAAGGAATTAAACCAGAGATTTTGCATCTAATAGAATAAAATGCAGGCTCTAATCTTCATTATGTAGGATTAGGCCCCAATTTCCTTTACAAGACACCTATAGCACAAGAATTAAAACAAATAATCAATAAATGAGATGAAATCAAACTAAAAGTTTATTCTCAGCAAAAGAAACAATCTGTGAGGTGAAGAGAGAGCCTACATCCTAGGAGGAATTTTTTACCCCTCACACATCAGATAGAGTACTAATCTCTAGGGTACACAAAGAACTCAATAATCTAAGCAAATAATAATAATAATAACAATAACAACAACAACAACAACAACCCATTCAACAAATGGGCCAAGGATCTGAACAGACAATTCTTAGAAGAGAATATACAATCAATCAACATTTTTTCTATATATCTGATAGGTTATGCTGCTCCCTTTTCAGGACCAAGCATACTTCTTGTTCAGTTTCTAAGGAAGGAAGACATGAACCAGAAGTATTTTCAACTCTCCTTTATAAATTATCAAATACAATTTTCTATGTCATTTTCTAAACATAGCTGGACATGGGAAATAGAGACATGGAGCAGAGAACATTTTTATTAGAAATACAGTGTAAAAGAAAGACAAAAAAACCCATAATTATTTGCACCACTTTGAAGCACAAGAGAAATGGACCCTGGAATTCAGAAAAGAAAGATTCATACTTTTATACTAGGGAATGTGGATGACATGGATGCCTAAAGTGAAAAGGTTATTACAAGCTTTTGAAATAAATTTTATGTGAGTGGCAGATAATCATTAACCAATTAGTATCTGCACAGTGTTTTCCAGGGGCTTTGTCAGCTGTGCACTACAGAACATACAGGTATTCATAGCCTCCATGAAGAGCATTATTCATCTGTATCCTCTAAAATTATTCCCACAGTACAGATAAAAACCATGGGTATTTGTATACTAAATGGCAATTCAGCAGCCCACATCACACTACCCAGAGACAGAACTGTATGAAATTTCTTCAAAGACCATCAATGTATTGTTAGCTCCTGACACAGGGATGTCAGTCTGGGGAAATATTATTTTCTTTCCATTTTGAAGAGAGTGCATTGACATTACATTTCAGGGGCAACACAAATACTTTTTTTTCATGTTAAGAAACTCTTCAGAAACAGAGCTCCCAAGACAGATTTCTTAGAAGCATAAATGCCTGGAGATTACAAAATGAAAAAAAAAAATCACTGGCCCTGAGAGACTCAGTAAGGCAATAAATCTAAAAGGCTTATTAGAAACTGAAAAGCAAAAAAGTAACTATTTCTAAAAATAAATATGCTCATTAGTTGCTATCTCCTCAGCATGTCATTAAGTAAACAACAAATTATGTATGAATATTTCTAGGATTGGCCAAATTTTATTCCATATGAATTTATATTAAACACCAAAATCCAAATAATAGAATTCATGATTCACTGCCAAAAATATTTACGAAAAAAATTCTTTAAGGAGTGGATGTTTAGTAAATATGTCATTTAACAATTTAATTACCATATGATTTTGGGGACATTTACTCACTTTCCTGCAGCCATAGTGTTGAGATATTTCTTATTTATTTTTCCTTTAGTAACTTCCAAAGATAAGCCCTAGAATCCACTTTAAATAACCTACACTTACAATCACAAAAGAGACCTATAATAAATGATGAGGATAAAAAAGGCAATTTAAAAAAATAATTTAAACTTTTTTCTTTTTGTTGAAATCAAACTCTAGCTGCATTTTTGGATCCATTTTCTCATCTTTTAAGCCAGAAATCATATAAAATATAAAGGCCAAAAATTTGAACTGCAAATTTATACATGAGTTATGTTTATTAGATTTAAAAATTCAAAATTTTTAGAAATTAAAGAAATGCAAAATAAAAACCCAATTTGGGAAAAAATTAATAATATTGATAAACTTTAGAACAAATGAATAATAATTAACTCAAAAGGAGTTTAAATTAGTATCTATTTGTGGAAAATATTTTGCTATTGATTATACATGATACTTCCCATCATAGAGACTAAGTGAAATTAGAGCATATGTAACCATGATAACATAAAATTACACAATGGTACTCATCCAAACACTTTAAGTCCAAGGGCATGGCTCAATACAATACACATCTTGGAAGAGGTGAATAATAATTTGTAGGAAAAATGGTCACTAGGCCAGTCACATTTCATAACATATCCAGTTTAAAAAAGAGCATAAAACACTATGTATAAATTTTACATAGGTGCCTTATGAAAGTGGTATTTTACATATGTAAATTTTTAGAAACAAAATATGTAGAACTTATAAGAAAATAAAAATTATGAGAAGCACATCAAAGACTGAATTATTCATCCCATGTATAGATGATAAAACTCATCATTATAAAGGTGATCATTTTCCCCCAAATTAATCCCCAATGCATCTCACCAAAATTGCTATGTACAAATATAAATATATCACAGTGAAGTCTACTTTTATGTGTATTCTATAATGTAATAATTTTAAAAAACTATAAATAATTATACAATAGAAGAAAGTAGAAGAATAGGGAAAGGGGAACTACTGGATACTGATGGGTAGCAAATTATATTTCATGTGTTATGATTATGTCAAAATAGTCCTGACTATTAAATACAACAATAATGAAATAATAAAAAAATCAAAAAGACTTACTTTAAATGAAATAAGTAACCAAATCATAAATTTTAAAAATTAATCTACAAAATTATATGTAACTTTAGCCAAAAACCTTTTCAATTATAAGAGCAAAAAAAAAAAAAAAGAACTTATCATGGCCTACTATTCATATATATTGAGAAATCATAATATTACAATAATCATCAAAGTATCACAATATAAATAAAATCCCCATATGAATACATTTGTATGTAAAACCTGTATGCTTTATTGTGATAGCAAAGTCTAGATAAATCAACCATAACAAAAATAATCTCAGTAATTTAGCTATGACCTTTCTCAAAATAAATTTAAACCTACTATTAGGGCTATTTACCGGTGACAAGTCCTTGCCTCTGCAATGCTGAAGTATAATATCAGAAAAGCATGCCAAGGCAAGTTTAGAGTGGAACATTGAAGCTTTATTAAAGGATAGTAGAAAAGACTTCTCTCCAGAGGAAAAAGAGGAGGAATCCATGGAAGGGCAAGATCTTATCTGTTTTATAACTAAGTTCTTCCTTCATCTTTCCCACATTTCTGTCCTTTGATCTGTTATCTTGCAGTGATGGAATGTACATTGGAAGGCCCAAAGGCTGGGGGACAGGTGGGCTGAAGCAGTAATCTGGGCAGGAAAGGCTTTTGGATTATCATCTCCCTGTTTGCTGGGAGCTGCTTCATTAACATTTCCTTGGGACAGGCTCTGGGCCTTGGGGACATTTTCAATTCCCCTTTTCCTGAACTCCATTCTAATATAATGTTCATTCTTCATTTTACTTGATATTAGACCTGATTTACCTAATAACACTAACTACCTAAATAATAATAATAATAATAATAATAATAATAATAATAATAATAAATGTAAAAATAAAAGAAAGTCAAAATAAAAATTAGCTGGCTCAAGAGGAAATTAGGTGCCCCCAAACAACAGGTCCTTTCCTTCAAGAAAATGGCCTGTGGAGATTTGATTTTGATAATTATTCCACCTGTCAATCTCCAGCATCTGGTAAGACACTGGGCTGCAGGAACACACCTGACACATAGTATTTTAGGCAGATACTGAGGATGCCCTTTAAGCATAAGGAAGACAGCAAAGAGTCTCTTCCACTGACATATTCCCCACCTGGTTGGCCAGTAGGACTGAGGACATAGTGGCCCAGTGGAGGACTTAAGCCTGCAGAGACTGCCCAGAGTCCCAATCTGCTAGCACCTGTTTTCACCACAGCCAGTCTTGTGGTTCCAATAAATAGTCTTTCTCCCCCAGCCTCCCTCACTAGGCCAATGCACACTCACCATTTCTTGGTTCTCCGGAGTTGAGCCTGCTTGGGATCCTCAGTTTCTGCACAGCAGAGCAACCTGCGACTCTGAAGTATGAGATTAAATTCCAGCCAAATGGAAAAAAAAGAGGACTTAGAAGAAAAGAAGTAACAGTGAAAGCCCACCCTCCTCCTCCCTGATAACACACAGGATTGGACAAGTCCCACAAAATGCTCTTGATTAGAAGGGGCTTCAGATCATGCACATTGAATCTGAGACCAGTGAGCCCTTTTTTTTTGAGTGACAGGGAATATTATCCAATCTAGACATGAATAAGGGTTAGAATCTCAGGTTGTTGAGCCCTGCTTTTTTTTTTTTTAATCTTGGAAATATAACCCAGAGCCTCAGGCTGCTATTATTTTAAGGCAAGTTTTTTTTTTTTTTTCCAGAAGTGGGATCCTAGCTCAACCAACAGATTATTTTAATTTAAACTTACATATAAATTTATTTCAGTTTATGAATTATATATGCTTGTATATTATTCAGGAATTAATATAAAACAATGACAATCACTATCAAATTTTATTTAAATTCTTTTGATCTCTGTTCTTTTTAGGTGACAGATTGAACTTTGAACTGCAAAGAAACCCTCTAAAGTAAAAATGCCCAATAAAAACAACACATAAGATGCTGGGATTTTGGCTCAGGGGTAGAGCACTCACCTCGCATGTGCAAGACCCTGGGTTCGATCCTCAGCACCACATAAAAATAAATAAGTGAAATAAAAGTATTGTTTCCAGCTACAGCTAGAAAAATACATAAAAAACATAAGATACAAGGTGAGAAACCAGCCTCTATCTCAGAGAAAAGCTTGTCCAAGGAAGGGGGCATGACCCTTGTCCTTGGAAAGACCCACAGAACACTCCTAGGCATATACCCACCCTGCTGAGTTGTTTATCTACAAATAACAGGAGAGATCTGCTGAGCCAGGTGTCCTTGACTCAGTCAGGCTAGCTGAGTACCCATAGCAACCCCCTAGCAACCACCAATCAGCATGAGATACGGAAAGTACCTGGGATGCCAGATGACCCTCCCAGTAGTTTAAGGTGGTTGAAAACATGTTAGAAGACCACATAGTTCAGCAGGTATATCCCTCATGGCCTAAACAATCAGTTCAAATGAATCCCCCTCTTCTACTAACCAATCACCCTTACCCAACTTGTTCCCGCCAGTAAATGTGCTAATCATGTTTTAGACTCATTTTATGATTTTCCCACGGTGTGTGATGATTTGCTAAGAGATGCTATGATGTATGTGGGGTCCCTGGCTTCCCCAGAGAGTGTATAAAACTACTTCAAACCCTGTGCTCAGGGCCTCTCAGCATCACCAGTTGATGTGTACGTGGAGGACTGAGCTAGCTCACAATGAAAAACCAGCCTCTATCTCAGAGCAAAGCCTGTCCAAGGAAGGGACATGACCTTTGTCCTTGGAAAGACCCACAGAGCACTCCTAGGCACATTCCCACCCTGCTAAATGGTTTATCTACAAATAACAGGAGAGATCTGCTGCACCAGCTTTCCCTGACTCAGGCTAGGTGGTGATCCATAGAAACCCCCTAACAGCCACCAATCAACATGAGACAGGGAAATACCTGGGATGCCAGATGACCCTCCCAGTAGTTTATGGTGTTGAGAAACCATGTAGTTCAGCACATACTCCCCTCTTGCCTTAAGCCAATCAGTTCAAATGAATACCCCTTTTGTACTGACCAATCACCCTTACCCAAATTGTTCCCGCCAATGAATGTGCTAATCATGTTTTAGAGTTGTTATTTGATTTTCCTGCAGTGTGTGATGATTTGCTTAGAGATGCTATGATGTATGTGAAGTCCCTGCCTTCTCCAAAGACTATAAAACTGCTGCAAACCCTGGGCTCGGGGCCTCTCAGCGTCACCAGTTGTTGTGTGTGCACTCACGGAGGACCGAGCTAGCTTGCAATAAACACCTCTTTGCTGTTTACATCGATCTTGGTCTCTGGTGGTCTTTTAGGGGTCCAGAATTCAAGCATAACAACAATAAATGCATCTTTGCTGCTTACATCAATCTTGGTCTCTGGTGGTCTTTTGGGGGTCCCAAATTTGAGGATAACAGTTTCTCCTGAAACCCATGGGAATAGAAGACAGCACTCCAGCTCTTTTGGACTGCAGTTTTATACCACAAAAAGTTGCAAAAGGGGGGTGTCTTGAGAACTTAAAAGGATTACAGGATTTTGACAAACAATACAAAGGCAAAGAGTAGGTTAATGGTCTAAATGGTTCAGCACTTAGGGAATAAGTTTAGATCACAACATCAGAATTTATGAGACACAACTAAGGTTTCAGAGAGGGTTATTATTGGTCAGGAAAAGCCAGCCAAATGGCAAAAATGGAGGACTTAGGAGATAAGAAGTAACAGTAAAATCCCACTCTCCTCCTCCCTGATGACACACAGGATTGGACAGTTCCCACAAAATGCTCTTGACTGGAAGGGGCTTCAAATCATGTATATTGAATCTGAGACCAGATAGCCCTTTATGAGTCATCACTAAAGTTTCAGGGAGGGTTGTTATCAGGGAAAACAACCCTGATTTTTACAAGCATAATACAAAGGCAGGTACAAGGTTAATGGTTTAAAATTGTTCATCACTTAGGGAGTAAAATTAGATCACAACATCAGAAATTATGAGGCACCACTAAGGCTTCAGAGAGGGTTGTCATTTGGTCAGGGAAAGCCAGAATTTATGAGTCATCACTAAATTTTCAGGGAGGGTTGTTATCTCATCAGGGAAAACCAGGCATGGGTGAATTCAAGGCACTGGCAGGCATTTCAAGCAAGTTTAGATATCACAGTAATTTATAATGAAGCAGAAATTAACTTTTCATGGCTGTGTGATGAGATGGCTCCCAATCTTAAGAGGAATTTAGACTGGATTTTTCACTTGTGATAGCCATAGCTTTTAAAGTATATATTTCATACTTTAACAAGTATTAACACTAAATTATTAATATGAATTACTACTATTTTTTTTAAAAAAACAATTAAAATAGAAATGAAGGTATTTGTTATTAAGTGGGTAAAAATTTTGATTAATATATTGATGATATAAACATGGAAAATTGTGACAATGATAAAAAGACATTTAATATAATGGCTTCAATATTATAAGTCCCTATGATTAATGTTCAGTGGGTCAGTTCTTCATTTTTTTTTTATTCTTTAGGTCATTTTGAATTACAGTTTTGTAAATGTTTGTTAAGTATACAAAGTTCAGATTTTGTAATTTGTAAAGTAGGAAAATGGCACATTTGATCCCCTGTGAGGATTTTAAAACTTATAAACCATGTGGGGCATCTTAGCACATTTTTTTTCATATTTGCACACAGTACAATTCTAGAGAGGAATGAGTTGGAGATATAGTCTACTGTCCTGAGCAAAAGAGAAAATTGCCTTAGGCTATTTCTAAAGCTTTTAACTTTTCTAAATTTTCAGAATTTTTGGTAATTTGAAAAAATATTTTAAAAATGAATTGTTTGAAATTATTTATTTATCTTTCCTGCATTCTTTTCACTTTTATTTATTTTTTTAGAAGAACTAAGAGAACAGAATTCCAAAAACGTTCCATGTGAATATAAAGGTATGTTTCTAATGATCAAGATAGAAAGCAGAAGCAAAACATCATCTAATTTGATGGGTCTGCCTCAAACTAGAGAGTTACACATCTATATCTGCCATTCTTCACTAGGCTCCTGCAGTTGAAAAAAAAAACACCAGCCAACAAAGAGAAATGTCTTTTTTAGTTTGATTGTTTCTCACAAATAATTCAAGCTAAAGTACACTAGTATCACTGTAGTTTCAGAACAAAATGTATTTTTAAATAATAAAAATAATATGTATACATAAATATATAAATAAGTATAAAATAAAATATAATGTTAGATAGATATTTTTTGCCTGGATAATCTTCTTGTACATATTTCCCTTTAGACACAGTTCTGGGAACAAAGTATCACAAATAAGACATGGATCCTACATTGCTACACAGAGTAATTAAGGCACATACTAAGAGCTTGGTATAAAACTTGGCATAGAGACATAAATAAGTAGAGAACACCATAGAAAATTATATCTAAATGCTAAGCAGCAAATTCATAATCTATAAGTACATGAAGAGACAAGTTATCATAGTATATTTTATGACTGAGTTGCTGCTAATATACAGAGATAGAGATATTTATTAAGAGATGGTTTTATGCATATTTTTGGTTTAAAAAGGGAAGGATCAAATAATGTAGGTGATTTAAACATGAGCAACTAATATTTTTCTGTGTTCAGTACCTTTTTTAGCAGATATATAAATTGTAATTAATTCCAACCAGTAAAATGGAGAAAAGGTATAAAGATTACTCTCTATGAGTAAAACTACTTAAAAATAGTACCAAAACTTCCATTCATGTCCAAATGTTTATTCCTGACAAAAAAACTGCTTCTTTTGAACCATTTCTGTAGATATGATTTTTTATAATAAATATTTTTGTGATTTTTTGCACATTACTTGATATAGTTATGCTTCACATTTTCTCTTCTGTGCAAAACATAGACCTGAGAAAGACTCAAATCTCTGCTGCCTCCTCTGCAAAGACTTTTGATTTCTCCCAGCACATGTTCCATCTACCTATTTTACCACCTATATTCTGAAAGAAAAAAAAAATTCTAACTTCTAAACTTCCTTGATATTTGAGCTATCTTTTAATTTTTAAGCTTATATCATTTCTATAATCAATATGATGCTTTCAGTAAAGAATGGCTATTATTATGCACCTGGTTCATTTACAGGAGTTTTGTTTTGTTCTTTGGTTTTATTTACAGTGAAGTTAAAAAAAAAGGTTAATGTTGAAACAGAACACAAAGAAAAGACTACCAACTCCGATTTGAAATCAAATTAAATCAAGATTGTATTGTGTACACAAAACCTGGACAGAACTCTCTCTTACAAAACTCCATGCTAGAGATCACCCCCTGATCTTCAGGAAAAAGATTTTACAGCACAAAATGTTACAAAGAAGGTCGGTGTCTCTGGTACTATACAGATAACAAGATTTTGACAAGCATAAAACAAAGGCAGATAGCAGGTTAAGGATCTACATGTCTCAACATTTCAAGGTAGGGAATAAATTCAACTCCAGACATTAGAATTTATGAGCTGCCACTGAGATTTTGAGAGAGTTGTTATTTGGTCA